TGCCAGACTCTGCCATGTGGGCAGGTTACATTCGGTAGCCTGTCAGTTTGTCCAAAGTAGGAATGAGATGATAAGATGTCACGTGGCCACAAACGCAGCGCACGCTTCCGGGAGCTGGGTTTTGTAGTCTCTGAGTCTTGGCCGTTGATGGGATTACACGGTGCCAGGGGGCCAGTTGGTGGGTGTGAGCCCCGCCTACTGGAATTTGGAGGATCTGGGTGGAGGCTGCTCAGCCCCTGATCCGAGTAGGCTTGGAGATCTCAGCCCTGGGCCCCGCGTGTCTTTGTTCCTCTGCCGGTACCTTCATGTGTGCGGAGAGTGGTCTCAGCATGGTGGTGACTGGTTCTGGAGGTCTTCGGCTGCCGGAGCCCTGGTCGGGGCAGGGAGGAAAACACAGTCCTCAGGCCAGGTGAGTCTTCCTAGCCCCAGCAGGGTCCTAGTCTCGTCGTTACCTTTGGATCATGACAGCATTTGTCTATGACCATGTCCTCAACTTATAGTTGAGTATCGTGGCACTTTGGCCTGGCCCATTTCAATGCTAAGGTAGCTTACAGCTTGCCCTGGATCCATTCAGTTCCTCGTTGGGACCCTGCTTTTGGGGTGCTAGGAACTAAGGGCAACTGAGTCAAGAAAGCAGATGCCCAGGAGTAAATATTATTCAGAGTCAATCAACTCCCAAGTTACAAAGCATAATATTAACTGTCTTCCTGTTCCATACAGAAAGGACATTGCTTTAAGGTAAACTATACAAAAGATATAATTTACAAGTTCAGTGTCCGTAGAAGAATCTGATCTTACAAGCTAACAATCTGATTAGGGAGAAAAGGTGATTAGCCAATTGGGGAGGAGAGCACAGAGAAGAGTTTACAGATAAATACAGAGGAATGGAAGTGACTCAGGAGCACTGTGATAGGTGTAACCAATAAACCTAAGCTCCCTATGGCAATGTTATCCTACAGGAATCGAACTCGGGTCAGCCCGTGCAAGGCAAACGTCCTGCCTGCTGTGCTATCTCTCCAGTCCTAGATTTTAATTTTGAAATGAGAATCTGACACTGGCCAGAAACACCAACAAATTAAGGCGTGACGGGGGCTCCTTCCCCAGGGCCACTGTGCTGTGTTTACATCTCTGCAAACTTCGGTCTAACCAGACATGCGCAGCAGGCCAGGAAAACGGAAGGCGGCCTGAGGTCTGTGTCAAAGTATGAGAGGAGATTTGTGTGATCCCAGATGAAACCCAAGGGGCCCCCTCGTCACTAATGCTGGAGGGTTTATTTTCTTCTTCTGACTGCTTGGTCCATAGGTTCAGTGTGTCCATTATTCCCAGCTTGCTGGGGGCTGGGGGAGGGGACAAGTAACAGTAAGTGAGGAAGTGAGGAGGGCGCTTGCTTTGCACATGGCTGGCCCCGGGTTTGATCCCAGCACCACATCTGGTCCCCTGATCACTACCAGGAGTGATTCCTGAACACAGAGCCAGGAGTAAGCCCTGAGCCGCACTGGGTGTGCCCTCCCCACACCCCCTCCCCCCAAAAAAGAAGTTTGCAGGGGACCAGGACATGGGTATATGTCCTTTTCCAAGTTCTATCATGTGTGGCCCACAATAATAATAAAAACAGTGATGACGGGCTGGAATGACAGTACAACAGATAGGGTGTTTGCTTTGCACACAACTATCCCGGGTTTGATCCCCAGCATCCCATGTGGTCCCCTTAGCACAAACAGTAGTGATTCCCTAGTGCAGAGCCAGGAGTAACCCCTGAGCATTGCCGGGTGTGACCACCCCCTCAAATAACAATAAAAACAAAAAAAAAAAAGCTTGCAAAGTTGAACTGAAGAAGCTTCCAGAACCCTGAGTGGGCTTACGTTTGCATTGGTCACCAAGGACTGAGTTGATAAGGCAGAGGGAACAGGGGTGATCTAGCCTGCTCAGGGGTCCCTGTCCTGAAAATACTCCAGACCACTTCAATGAAGACCCTCTGGGCCTTCATGCATGGAGGATGTTCATTCGCTGTGTATTTCAGGATTCCAGGGCCTCCCGGGGGGACCCCAGCTCTGGGCTGTGGTCACGGTTGCAAGGGGCCCCCTCTGCCTGACTTTGGCTAGGACAGGTTGGGATGTGGGGGTCCGCAGGAGCGCCTGACCCTCACCAGCAGCCAGGAGCTGCTCCCCAGGGACCCTCATTTCCAAAGAGTGATGCAAGAGGGGGAGCCCCAGCTGAGGCAGCCCAGGGTTGCACGCACATGCCCATGCACGCACGTGTATGCACACACACACACACACACACACACACACACACACACACACACACACCCCATCTCTGGATTTCCAGCTCCCAGTCCCCCTGCTGGTCCGTGGGCCTCTTCTTTGCTTCTGTGAACGCCTAAGCAGGGCTGAGCTGAGAAACACGGGCACTGTGAAGGTTGATGGGTCTAGATTTTGGAGGTGGTTTCTGGGGTCCGGAGTCAGGCCCCAACAAAGAGCAATGTGGCCTCCCATCCCAAGTGGAGGAAGCAGAAGCCCTGGAAGGTTTCCACCTTCCCTGGTCAGGTGGGAATCCAGGGTATGAAAACGAAAAATGAGGACTGGACTCAAAAAGAAAAAAAAATGTAAAGAAGGTCTCTATGACTGGGCAAGCATAGACATCCCCTGCAATGTCCCAGCAGCTGCATCCGGGAAAAAGAAATCAGTGACATTTTTTAAGAGACTCTGGTTTTCTGGACCTACCTGAGATCACGTTTCAAACCACAGCCAATGCCCAAATCCTGTGGCACTCACCTCTGCCCTCCACAGGCTCTGGAATGGAGAGGGGGAAGTTTGGCATTCACCCAGGGGCCAGTCCAGCTCTGAGACCCAGTAACCCACACTGGGTAGGGCGCTTACCTTGCAGAAGGCTGATTCGGGTTTGATCCCCAGCACCCTATATCAATCACCCAGTACCCTGAATCTTGCCAGGAGTGATCCCTGAGCACAGAGCCAGGAGTAAGCTCTGCACAGAGCTGGGTGTGCCCTCCCCTAACCCTGCTGCCAAAAAAAAAAAAAAAAGGATGAAACCAAAAACCAATAACGCACATGTGGCTGCCTGTGACCACCTGGGAGACGGGGAAAATCCAGCCATGGGCATTTCCCATGCACTCCACCCATGCCAACCTGTGACTTCAGGGCTCTGCACCCCCTAACAGGTCCAGTTTAGAAGTCCCCACCCACAGGACTGTGCCAGTTCAGGTGCCTGGTGGGACCTTGTGTGAGGGCAGCCCTGTCCCAGGGCCCCAGGCCGCCCAGGAAGCCAGACATCTCTGGTGGAGCATGTGAGCTGTGAGCAGTGGGACCTGGGGCTGGGGTTCCCCTAGAAGCACTTTCTGGGTGTCTTTCACTGCCTGGCCACGGTCCAGGGGACTCCAAGCAGTGTGAGATTGCAGGAAGCACCCAGAGGGAGGCACCGCGGCAGCTGTGGGAAGTGGCATCCAGCCAGGAGGAGGAGAACGGGCTGGGGATAAAGGTTCTGTCATTCGCTGTGTATTTCGGGATTCCAGGGCCTCCCGAGGGGACCCCAGCTCTGGGCTGTGGTCACGGTTACAAGGGGCCCCCTCTGCCTGACTTTGGCTAGGACAGGTTGGGGTGTGGGGGTCTGCAGGAGCGCCTGACCACACAGCAGTGCGCCTGCCACCATCCCCACCAAACAGGTGGTGCCCCTGCGCTTCCTGAGGCTTAGCCAGTGAAGCCTATCAGATGGTCATAGTAGGCCCCCCATCTGCCTGGACAGAGGGGACACCGTGAACCCGACCCAGGGCCAATGCTGACCATCTCAGCCTCACCCTCTGGCACCCCAGGATCACACCAGGACACACAGGGGACCTGGGTCAGCCCTAGCCCCACCCCCTATCCTGCCCACCCCAACCCACCACTGCACCCTCCGGGCCCCACCCGGACCCATGGGGGGGGGTACAGGCGGGAGGGAGCAACAACCAGAGTAGGGCGCCCCAAGGGCCTGCCATCCTCGGGGGAGTCCCTCTTCGGAAAGGAGTCTGTGCTTGGGCCTTGTCCCCCTACAGCCGGGTCCCTGGGAAGAGCTGGGTCAAGGAGCTGGCGTGACCTCCAAACCCGCAGGGATGCGCAGGTCACACGGACGGACCCAGCCGGCCCTCTGGGGTCTCTTGGAGCCCTGCAGCCAGACCCCAGCAGGTCCAGAACTTTCTCAACCGTACAGAGCACCACGTTCAGGGGCCACATAGCCCAGGGGGGACGGCGCTTGCCTTGCACAAGGCTGACCCGGTTAGCGCCCCGGGCCCCAGATAGATGGTCCCCTGCGCACCGCCGGGCGTGGCCCCAAACAAAACCAAAACCAAAGTGCGTGCAGGAAACACTCCTGCGCCCCAGACTGTCCTTCCGTGCTGGGCACCCTGGGGCCCGCTGCCCCGGGGATGGAGGGAAGACCCCACCCCGGAGTGCAGCTGGGAGAAGAACGGTTACTAGGCAGCGCGGTGTGCGGGGAGGTCCCCCGGCCGCCCCTCAACCCCAGCGACGACCTCCAGTCCCAGGGAAGTCTCCAGCGAGCCCCGACGAACCCCAGACACTTCGGACCCCCGAACCCCGCCAGGCCCTCCCCCCAGGTCCCCTCTCCGGCCCAACGAGCTCCAGCGAGCCCCGAGCTCTCCCGGACGAGCCCGCTCGAGCCCCGGGCGCGCCGAGTCCCAACGAGCCCCGGCGAAGCCTCTCCCGCGCCCCGGCGAGCCCCGGCGAAGCCTCTCCCGGGCGAGCCCTCTCGGGCCCCGGCGGGCCCCGGCGAAGCCTCCCCCGGGCGAGCCCGCTCGAGCCCCGGCAGCCCCGGCGAGCCGTGTCCCGGCGAGCCCCCGCGAGCTCCGGAGGGCGGGGCCGCGCGCGGGCCGGGCCCGGCCGGCGGCTCCGCTCCCGCGCGGCGGCGCGATCCAGGCCGGGACGCCGCGCCGCCCGCGCGCCCCGCCCCGCGCCGCCGCCGCCGCCGGAGCCGCCCGGAGCTGCGCGAACATGGCCGAAGTCGGCGAGGACAGCGGGGCCCGCGCCCTCCTGGCGCTGCGCTCGGCGCCCTGCAGCCCCGCGCGCTGCGCCGCGGCCGCCGCCTTCCCCGCCGCGCCCGGCGCGCCCGCCCCGTCGTCGCCGCCGCCGCCGCCGCCCGCGCAGCCGCCGCCGCCGCCGCCGCCGCCGCCCGGCGCCGTGGCGGGGGGCGCGGGGCCCGCGGGGGCCGCGGCGGGCGAGGCCCTGGTGGCCGCGGCGGCCGCGTCGGTGCGCCGGAGCCCCGGGCCCGCGCTGGCCCGCCTCGAGGGCCGCGAGTTCGAGTTCCTCATGCGCCAGCCCAGCGTCACCATCGGCCGCAACTCGTCGCAGGGCTCGGTGGACCTGAGCATGGGCCTGTCGAGCTTCATCTCGCGGCGCCACCTGCAGCTCAGCTTCCAGGAGCCGCACTTCTACCTGCGCTGCCTGGGCAAGAACGGCGTGTTCGTGGACGGCGCCTTCCAGCGGCGCGGCGCGCCCGCCCTGCGCCTCCCCAAACAGTGAGTGTCCGGCCCGGACGCGGGCACCGCCGCCCCCCCCCCCCGCATCGGTCACGCCGGGCCCCGTCCCCCCGCCGGCTCGGAATTCGGGGGGTGGGGGACACCGTGCCTTCAAGACCCCCCTCGGTGATGGGGACCGTGGAGCCCACCTGTCTGGGCACGCCCCGATCGCCCTCCTAGTTCCCGAGGGTCATCCCTCCCCTCCTGACCCCGCCTCTGCCCCCCGGAGGGCCATCTCGACTGAGCTTGCCCCCTCCCCGGGCGCCCTCACTCTCGACTGGGTTGCATCAAGCAGTGCCCCAGCCCCCGCCTCCTCTCCTTAGGGGCCCGTGGGGGGGGGGGGGGGCATGTCCCGAATCCCCTGGGTCGCTCAGTGCCGAGGGCTCCCCTGGGAGGGAGGGAACTGGGGCTGGACAGTGAGTGGCCTGCGTGCATGTGGGTTGTCTCCAGCCTTCCCGGCATCGGGAGAGCCTGTTTAATTGCTCATTTCCTCTCCACCACTTTCTTTTTCTAGTGGGTGAGTGCCCAGGTGGCCCTGCCCACCTCACCTGTCTTGCCTTGCAGCGGGCGGGCTCAGAGCTCTGGCGCAGGTGCCCTGGGCAGTCCAGGAGCTGCTCCCATCAGCAGCCTCCTGGCCCTGGACGGTCTCTGCTGCCCCCACGGGTCCCGCAGCAGGAGCCTGATGCCCTTTCCGCAATGGGTGCCCGTCTGCCCATCCTCCGGCGCCTGCCCCCTGGCCCTCCTCGGGGGACCCTGCTGTATTCTGCACAGCCTGGCCCTGGATCTGGGCAGTGATGTCCACACTTATCTTCAGGTTCAGGGGGAGAAATCCCCACCCTGCGGAGCCTGGGCCCCTCATCACAGCGTCGGGCTAGGCAGCTATGCATTTGTGGCCAAATACTTTTTTTTTTAACTTTTTAATTGAATCACTGTGAGATAGAGCCTTACAAAGCTGTTTATGATTGGATTTCAGTCACAGTATTCCAACACCCGTTCCTCCACCAGTGCACATTTCCCAGAACCAGTGTACCAGTGTCTGCAGGTTCCCTCCCATCACCCCCCATCCCTGCCTGCCTTTATGGCAGGTGCTTTTCTTCTCTCTCTCTCTCTCTCTCTCTCTCTCTCTCTCTCTCTCTCTCTCTCTCTCTTCCCCCACCCCTCCTTTTGGTTTACAGTATTGATACTGAAAGGTTATCAAGAATATCCCTTACCTAGCTGGGAATGGCCAAATACTTTGGGGTGCCTCACCGAACCTGCAGTTCTGCCCTCTGTGTACTTCTGAGTGAAGCCCTGATAGCTGGAGAACCCCAAGTGGAGGGTGGGGGGGGTGCAGGCCTGCCCCGGGGCCGCCGTGGGAGGGTCATTGGAAGGGATGCTGGCATTGGCTTTGCATCTGATTTTCCCACTGACTTGGTGATGCTGGTGTGGGTCCATCCTCACTCAATGCCTGTGCCTGTTCTCTCAGTGTCCGCCCTCCATTCCTGGGGTCCGCGAGTGGGGTCTGGTTTGTTCGGGTTTGTCCTCCTCCCTGGAGGAGTCCCAGGTAGCTGCCATCTCCCTATTCCTCCATCGTGCCCCGCAGGACTCGGCTGCTGGTGGGCCAGCGCTGAGGGCTGCAGAGAATTGAGGCCACTGGGAGGGGAGGGGGCTGCACGCTGACCCTGGTCGGCCGGTAACTACTGCATGTATGCTGCTTGGGCCCTGCTGTCGGGCACCTGTTGTCAGCCATACTGAGCGCCTGGCGCCTCCAGAGTACACTGGTACACATGCAGTCATCAGTACACAGGTGTATGTGGAGCCATGGGTACACATGGAGCCATGGACGCACGGGTACATGCAGAGCTGTGGACCCACAGGTACACAGATGGGTACATGGGTACATGCTGAGCTGTGGGCACACAGGTTCAAACAGCCACAGTACATGTGGAGCTGTGGGCACACAGGTACACACAGATCTGTGGGCTCATGGATACACATAGAGCTGCGGGCACATGGGTACACATGGAGCTGTGGGCTTATGAGTACACGTGGATTCACAGGCACACAGGAGCAGGAACACGCGAAGCCGCAGGCACCGGAGCGGGGGCTGGTCCCTGCAGGGCTCTCGCCATTTGCTGCCTGGACACCCTATGGCTCCACCGTGGTGTCTGTTGTGACTCTGGGTTTAGATGTAGGGTTCGTTCAGGAAGCCCCCCTCACTCCCCACACCCCGCGTCTCCCCGATGCTAACATCTGGGGCAGGAGTCAGAGATGCAGCTCGGCCAGGACCCCCACCCCGCCCTCAGCCATTTTATACCACTTTCGAGTTGGTGTTGGTCTGGGGGGCACCCGGCAGTGCAGGGGCCTGGGGTGGAGTGATCAGTCTCCTTGCTCTCCATAGGAGCAACCTGGAAAGGGCTGTGCCGGAAACTCCCTTTGCTCCCCAGTTCCAGGAGGGTCCCGGCGTTCTCCGTCCCCCCACTTCTCTGCCCACCCTGCCGTGTGGCCACGGGTCCCATGTGCCCTGTGTGCTTGGTCCCCGGTTCATAAAAGGGGTCTTGTCCTAGATCCCAGCACCATGGTCCTGTGGCTGCCAACAGATGGGCTGGGGACGTGTCCGTGCGCCTTTCCTGGGTGGCTGTGTCCACTCAGGACCCTGTGGCCAGTGTGTCTCCCTCAACTCCGTCCATCTGGGCTCCGCTCCCTGCCTGGGCAGCTCCATTCCCTGTGGAACCTGTGCGGCCACAGGGTTGCAGGTGCCAGAGTGTCCAGGGCTGCCCGCGCCTCTGCAGGACAGGCGTGTTCTCTGGACCCTGTGCCCAGGCCCTGGAACTCAGGGCCATCGGGATGGCAGCAGACTCGGCTCCTGGCCGCAGGAGCAGCGGCACCATGGAGGATGGCCCAGCTTTGCCAGACGCTGCTCCTGGGTGGCCCTTGTGAACCCCGTACAGGAGCCATTGGGTCAGTGATTGGACATCAGGATGCGGACCGACTGGTGGCACTGTGGACCAGTGTCAGGGCTCGGAGGAGTAAGTCACGCCTTCGCACACTCGCATTCCACAGGTGCGGGTGTGGGAGGACGGTGTTCTCTTCAGACTGTTGCTGCAAACCAGCTTCTAAAGCGGGGCTGGCTCAGATGCCCCAAGTTCTAGCCCAGCTCTGCTGGAAAGTACCCCTGGCCGGACGGAGGGCATCTGGGCACCGCTGCCCACCGGTCTCCCACCCAAAGAAAGGCTTGTGGGGGGCGCAGATTGGGACCCCCATACACTGCTCAGTGGGCCTGCACCACCCGAGCTGAGAAGGGTTTGTCTCTGCCGTGCAGCGCTGCCTGAGGAAGGACTGGGTGGGGGCTGCAGGCGGTACAGCCCCTGTCACAGTGCTTCCATCGGAACTGCTCGGGGCTGCAGTGATTTTCGCCATGTGCTGTTTTTGGTCTTGTGACTGGCAGGGAATAAACTTGGTAAATTAACGGCAACTCGATTACAGCTGCATCTCGATTACAGCCGCACCTCGTTTCCATAATTACTCTGCACTTAGCACGTTCCACAGTGAATGAGAGGGCGGAGAGCTGCGCCTGCTTGCAGCCCAGAGATGGCACCGCGGGGTCCCCCGTGTCTCCGGCTGGAGCCCCCTGCTTCTGCTTTTCTGTTGGCTTGTTGGAGAAAGGAAAGGGACTGCGTGTGCAGTGTGTCCCTGCGTGTGTCCCTGCACACCCACACACTGCCCCCACATGCCGTGCCACCCTCCCCGAGTGCCACACCCCCTGCCCCATCCTGGCACCCCACAAGCTACCTGCCCTGCCGCCCTCTGGGATTCCTGATCTGCTGGCATCTCTCGGGAGGCTGCCCGGTGCGCAGGGTGTCATGCCCTTCCTGCGAACTCTTCAGGGCCCCACCCCTCTCTGCCCACACTTCCGGTGCCGTGTGACCCTGGAGTCCCGGATAGTGCTCCTGTTACTGGGGCCAAGGCCCGAGGTAGAAATGAGAATGGAGAACTTGAATTGCATCTTTATGACTTGCTCAAAACTACGATCCTAAGCTTGTGTTAAGAATAGCTCTTTGAGGGGCTAGAGCGATAACACAGCGGGTAGGGCGTTTACCTTGCACACGGCCCACCCAGGTTCGATTTCCAGCATCCCATATGGTCCCCCGAGCAGAGCCAGGAGTAACCCCTGTGCATTGCCGGATGTGACCCAAAAAGCAAAAAAAAAAAAAAGCTCTTTGAGGGTCTGAAGAAATGACAGGATGCTTACAGCCTAATTGCGGGGAGGGCGCTGGCCTTGCACGCAGCTGACCAGTTGGAACCCCGGCACCCCATAATGTCCCCTGAGCCCTGGCATGGCTGATCCCTGAGCAGAGTCAGGAGCCAGCTCTGAGCCTCGCCCCAAGTGGCAAAAAAAAAAAATCACTTTTGGGGGGGGGGGGGATGCCAGCTGTGTTCAGGGGCTGCTCCTGGCTCGGTGTTTAGGGATCAGGCGTGGAAGCTGGAGGCAGGTACCCTCATCCCAGGGGCAGTCTGGCAGCCTCAGATGTTTTCAGTTCCGCTGTGAATCGGAGTTAAGGTGATTCAGAGATGGGGAAGCCCGCCGTTGCCCTTGGCCGTGTGTCTCAGGTTGCGTGGACAGGGCTGGACAGCTGCCAGTGAGGGCCTCCCCTGCCCCTGCCCACGGGGACACCCCTGCTTCTCCCTCTGACCTGGTGAGGTGGTGCCCAGGGTAAGGAGGGGTTCGCAGGACCCTTTCTGAGTGCCTCCTCCCCAGCCACTCCTGCCTCCCTCACAGCCACCCAGGGCAGCTGAAGTGGGGTCCCCCCACCTCCTGGGAACTGGGGCAGCAGGTGGCATTCAGAAGTGGGATCCCCGTCACTGGCTGGGCTGGTGCTATGCAGCCTTAAGGCTGGTGTGTGGGCTGGTGGCCCCTGTGTGGGAGCAATGCGTGGGGCCACACCTCACAAAAGTGGTTTGCGGGTGCTTAGCTATCTCTCCTCTCACTTCACTACTGAGAGGAGCGCCGCCCCCCCGCC